CCCAGCTAGGGCACATAGTGTGCAATGCCTTCTAGTTCTGTAGCAGTGTCAGTAGTCAGGAGCACTTGGTAAGGTCCTTTCCAACAGAGGTCGAGGGCTGACTTCCTCGACCCTGCTTCCAGAATGCTTCCAGAATTCTGGAAGCTTCCAGAATACCCAGTCACCAGGCTCTAGACTGTGACCAACAGGATCCTTTAAATTGGAATCTGGGAAACCTTCTTTAACCTGTTGATGATAGGCTTGAGCATAAGACGTTAGAGACTTACGGAAGTTGATCCTACTAGCATAAAACAAGGGATCAGCAGAAGGTTGTATACCAATAGACATTGGTCTGCCGGTAATTATATCATGCGGGATGAGTTTATGTTTTCCAAAGGAGGTACTGCAAACTGTCAGCAAGAACAAAGGCAATACCTTAGGCCAGGGGAGTCCAGTCTACAGGTATATAACATACTTCAAAGATCATTAACAGGACTGGAATCTAATATCTACAGAGGTGCAAACATATTCTTCTTTCTCTAATTCCCCCTCCCCCCTTTTTTAACCCAAGATAGTCAGTAAAACTAATTTGTTTGTATTAAAACTTGGCCTGATTATTTATATAAGTCAGAGGTTCTGAATTTTGGTGGGATCAAGTAGAGAGAAAAGGTAAATGTTTCACCTTTGTTCACAATGGTATCTTAGCAAAGAGAAAAGATTTCTTTAAATCTGTAAAAATAAAACATTAGTGCATCGTCCTCAGTTCATACTATCCCATGTAATTACTACTTGTACTGCTTGAATCCAGTTTTTCCATTAGTTTTCTTGACTTTGCCTGATGATTGAGGGTGAAAGAGACGGTGATAATTCCAAGAAGTTTGCAAGGCTTTTTAAGGCTCTTTTGATTTGCCCAGTGAATTGGGTGCCTCGATCATTGGAGATTGTGGAAGGTATATCCCAAGTGGGAAACACATTTGCTAACAATTTTTTTTGCATTTGTGAGGGCATCAGCTTTGTGGTAAGGGAAGGCTTCAAACCGTGCAGAAAACATACGTACAATATTGAGAATGTATTGACAACTCATACTAAGTGGCAGCTGAATGAAGTCCGGCTGCAGGTGTTCAAAGGACCCAGAGGGAGGAGTTCTGAGGACTCTGGGTTTAGAACTAGTTTTTCTTAGTGGACTATGGTGGGTGAAGGAATGCAAAAAACAAAAAGTGGGGTTTACCAGGGAGCCAGGAAAAGCCAAGAGGCCGTCCTGGGTTTCCCATAGTTTTGACTGTTCATTTAATTTACAGCCATTGTCTACCCATCTTAATTTCTCTGATTCAGCAGCTGACTGTTGCCATGGTACAAGGACCTCAGGATGGCAGAAGTCTGGCAATGAGGGGCTGTTCTTTGCAGAGGCAGAATGGACTTCATCCACAAGTACCAATCTTGATAGATTCTCTAGTTGCTGTCTTTACATGAAAGTCATCTAATGAGTTTACCTGATACTCAGGTCCAGTCCTTTTAGTGTGAACCTCAATTTTGATGATAGACAAAGTTTTATACCAGGACATATTAGACTTCCAGGAATTTCATATAATTTCTGGAACTCTTATAACGTATACTTGTAAAGACATAACATAAAGAAGGCTAATGTTATTTTATTTGACAGTGCTTTGCATGCAATTTAACATATCAAATAAGCTTAATTAGTTTAATATCCCCTTCTTTGTAAGGATAGAGAACAAATCTTTTGAGATATCTCAAGGATCCTCTGAAAAATTCCAGAGTTATCTAGAGGTCAAGAACGACTTCATTCAGAATCTGATTTTAGGACTTTTTTCAAAAAATATCAAAAAAAAACATTTTCAAAACACTTGCCTAAATAGGACCCACAGATCATTATGCAGCTTAATATTTAATTATCTGTTTAATCAAAGTGACAAAAAGCTTTCAAAGACAAATATAGAAGATCACGTAGCCGTTAAACCTGGGCTGTTTTAATAGAAAAGATTTAGCTTATTTTAACATAAAGCACAGGAAATAGTTTTAATAAAACACAGAAAGATAAAGAAAAACCTTTCATAATCTTTTATCAGGAACAAAGCAATATCTGAGAATACTTTGTTCTTTTAAGAAATGAAAACTAAGGACCAGTTTTATATAAATACACAATTGATATTAAAGCTTATTTTTTAAATTCTTAAAATAACAATCTAATTTTAGCTAACTTGACCACACAAGGTAAGGTTTTTTTTCCCCTCTTTCTGTCTCTTTCTCTTTTTAACAGAGAGAGGGAATACCAAATTTTAACTGTGCACCAGCTTACTTTTGTTATTAAAATTCAATTACTTAAATTAATTCCTATCTTAGCCAGCTTGACTATGCATAAAACTTCTTTTCTCAGAGTTCCTTTTCCATAAACCTTCTATAACTTTTTATGTCCATTTTAGTTTTTCCCTTGTTCTCTTTTTCATTTGGAATTAACCAGCTTTATTTTGGGAGAAAATTATTTTTTTTCATTAACAAAAATGTATCTCCATTCCTCATACTTTGTCTTACCAAAAACATACATCTTATTGTCCTTGCATACAGAGATTTTTCCCTATTTTTAGTAGCTGTAATTACATAGATTAATTTGAATTCTTAACCCTTAGAAACCTTAATTTCTAGTGAAAACTAAGAAGTAAGCAATTGTGAACTCTGTTATACCCATATTCTTTATATTAGCAAATTTTTGAATACATTTTATAATTTTTAGAAACATGTTTCTGCAAAGTGCAATCTTCCAATAAAGCACAAAATATGTTTATTAATAGACCCAAATTTATTTTAGTTTCTCTGTAATAAGAAGCCAAAAATAGATAAACCTCTGTTCAGTAATTAATGTTTTACTATTTTATCTTATCTAGAAATGATCTAAATATTCAGTGAGTTTCCCATCATTTAATTTAACTTAGCAAAACTCCCAAGTTTCAAGTTACCAAAAAGATTTCGGGAAGCTGTTTTTAAGTACGCATACCATGAAACACATATTATTGCATCTAAAAATTCTTATTGCATTAACATCTGTATAATTTATTCTTAAAATTCATACTTAGCTTATTCATGAAAATTTCATCAGACATTAAAGGAGTTAGGCATCATCTTAAGTTAATTTTTTTTTCCTGCTGACAAGTTCTGTAAAGGAGATAACATGAGCTTATTTGACTAATAACCCAGGTAGAATAAAAGTTGCATGTTTGTATTATATCCAATGCTGATAATCACTGTGAAGACATATCTATTTTAATTAAACCAACAAACTTAAACAAGCTTTTATTTTGGCAAAGATTATGTTACATCACATTAACTTGAAAAACATTTGGATTAGTTTCCATTATATTTAGAATAATTTATGTAAGTGCTTACTTTAATTAAATAGAACTCTTTTTAGAAATTAATTTTGTTAATACCATTCGGAGGTAGAAAAATACCGCACATATATAACGTAAATACATATATATAGACAGACTCAGACAGAGCTCTTACAGCTTTTATTTTAAAATTTTAGCCATGATTCAGGTACAGTAGAAAACTCACTAGTTTATAAATAATTATGTTTCTAGCAGATGGAACAAAGTTACCTGCTTAAAAGCTTTTTTTTATTAATGTTTGTGAAGAAGACTTTTAAGACTGTGAATTCGATTTTGGATAAGAAAACCTCTCTAGCAACTTGCATTTTAAAATGACACTTTTTTCCCTTTTTTTTTTTTTCTTTAACCTCAGGCTTTACTGATTGAGCTAGCCAGGTTTAGTCTCAGGTGATTGTGGGCTGTTATCTCCTGGGGTGTTTACGTTCTAAAGACATGGTAAAATTTACAACTTCAAAGGACAGAGAAAAACTGCAAGTTTTTCTAGGAATTTTGGGGTAGTTGCAATTTAAAATTTTCCTCCAGTCTTAGGAATTGGGGATGGTCTAAATAAGAGTTCCCAGAGGTGTTATAAACCTTTTGAGATAAATAGGGGAGGTTTTGGGATTGGTGAAAGGGAATGAGTGGAATCTGAACTGCCTTTAGAGCTGTATTTCCAATTTTGCAAAGATTTGAAAGATAAATACACTCAATTCCTCAGGAATTGGGTTGTAACTTAAATGACATCATAGCTTAAATTACCTATCCAATTACATTATCTCTCATTTGCTTTTTTCCCCTCTGAGTACATAGTTTTATTTTAGCTTAGGTGAGAAAACCTTTAAAAAAAAAAAATTCCTATTAGGCTCTGAATATCAGCTTCCAATTTGGCCAAATTTCTGATCATAAAGTTACCAAATCCTTTCAAAAATCCTATCAGGTTTCCGTGGGGACAAACAGTAAATATTTCTGGCAGTATTAAACAACCCCATTAATTCCAATATTAATTTACCCTATGTTGTTTAAGGGAATAATATAGCAGTTTACCAGGAAAACTCTCCAAATCTCATCAACTCTGGGAGGGACCCATACAAGAGCCCTCCTACAAGAGTAGATATGAGAGTGTCTGTAAGGCCGCTAACTTGATGCACTTTTGTTTACAGTTGTGTAGTCTTTTCTTTTGGGTACCTCTTATATCTTTAATTTTTCGTTAGTTTTTTGCAATGAAACTTTCAGTGAAGCTATTTTAGAATTTTGAAGCCTTGGCTTTTAAGTGCACCTTTTAAATGATCTTATCTAATTAGAACCTTCCTTCTACTGGCCATTAGTAATTTTGGTCCATTGAAATAGAAATTTACAAGAGAAAGGACCATAGTTCTTAAACATAAAACCAGCAGGAGTTTTCCAGGGAGAAACTTCTCAGGAAACTTTAGAAAATGAAAGTCCTATGTTAAAGAAAAATGTGTAAACAAGAATGACAATAGGAAAACCCCTCAATTATGTCAGAGTACTCACCAATCAGGGAAAAAAAAAACCCTGCTGAGGAAAGCCTCTGCTGCAGCAGTGAGCCCTGCTGGCACTGAGACAGTCATCTCCTGGGCAGTCACCCCCAATCCCAAAATAGGGCACTGCCTCCGCCAAATGGAGGGAGGTCAGAACCTGAGAGGACTCACAGTCAGAGGAGTTGGCAATCCGTGTGGAATGGTGAGCCCAAGGGCCTCATGTAGGTACCACACCCAGTTCCAGGGGACTCTAGTCCACAAAGGTGAGATTGCTTCAGATCTCACCTCTGACACCATGTATGTTAACCTAAAAATAAAGAGCAAAATGAGAGGCAGAGAGGCATTTATTTTGGGATCAAAGAACTGCAATTCAAGGTACTTAGATTTGGGTAGCAACCCAAAGAGTGTCCCACTAAGGGAGTAAGAGGCAGGGGTTTTTAAAGGCAAAAGAAGGAGATTTGCATTACAAAGAATGTTTATTGGGGTTTGTGGAAGAAAGCTAATGTTGGCTGAACTTACTAATTGATTCTAAGGCTAGCTAGAGGGAGGCACATGTCCATCACTATGATGAGCTGCAGGTTTCTTGCAGTTCAAAAGTTCATGTTGTGCCAGATGAGACATGGATAAGACCCATTTCCTTACTGGCTTCCCAGCTCCATTTTAAGGCTCTTAGACATGAGATCCCATTTTGTTTCACATTTCACACATTGTTGCAAATGTCTGCAAATCAGACTTAACAGAAGTCAGATGGATTTTCACATCTGCTTCTTCATTCAGTCTTCTGCAGTTTTTGTTGTTTTGGTTGAAGAATATGAGGAAAATCTGGCCTCACAGATCTGTAGTTGGAAAAGAAGACCTTGCTGATACCTTGAAAGGCTCTTGGGGATCCCCAGAAGTTTTTGGATCACACTTTGTGAATGACTGCTTGAGTGTTTATACCTAGAGAATGGAGTCTCTAGGTCAGAAGATATGCACGTCTTAAACATTACTAGGTAATGCCTAATTATTTTCTAAAGTGGCTACCAATTTATACGCTCATCTGAAGTATATGTGAGTTTTGGTTGTGCACCTTCTTCAGCATTTGATATTGTCACACTCTAATGTTTGCTGATCTGAGAGGTATAGAAAAAATACCTCATTGTGATTCTAAGTTTTGTTCTCCAATTGAGCGTCTTTTCATACATTTATTGGCTATATGTGCTTTTTCTTCTCTTCAGTATCTTTTCAGGTCTTTTGTCCATGGTTCTTATTGCAATATTTGGTTCATAGTTTCATTTTTCAACATTTGAATGATTAATCCATTTGGAATTTATTTTGATGTAAGGAGAAAAGTAGAGCTACAGCTTTGTGTTTTTGTTTTCCATACGGCTAGGAACTTGTTTCAATATCATAGACTCCCCACTGATTTGAAATACCAGTATTAGCATCTTCAAAATTCTGTTATTTTTTTGGTCTTTGTCCTGACAGTAATGTTCCATTGTTTATTTTTGTGTTAGTACCACAATTTTTAGTTGTCCATTACCTCTTTGTTTCTTATTTGTAGAACCTGAATTTAATTGAGTGGTAGTGTACCCAGCTAATTATAATTGCTATAAATATTAAATAAGCTTTAATATTTAATAGTGCTAGTTTTCTGCTTGTAATTACTTTCTCAGAATTTCCTTGGTCATTGTTTCTTCTTTTATATCACTTTTAGTGTTATTTTTGTCAACTTGGAGATTGAATCAGCTTTAGAGACTTCATGTAGGAAGATTTTGCATATTCCCAATAAGTACTCCTTCTCAAAAGTAAAGTATGCATGTTTCCCTTGTAAGCAAACCTTTTATGACTCTGTTTTTCAAAAGTCTTCATATCAGCCCAGACCATTTCTTAAGTTTATTCTTAGGTGTTTTATATTTTTTGTTGGTATAGTGGAGTCTTTCATTTTTTAAGAGGTTATACATTTATATAAAGATAAAAATTAAAAAGATAATAAAGATATAAACTGATAAATCTCTCTCCTCCCCATTCTTAAGTTGCCTAGTGTTCCTTTTTCCATAGGCGACTAATGTTATCTATTTCAGAGATAATTTATGCACATTTAACCAAACACTCGTTTACTTTTATTTTTATTACGGAAAATTCAAACATAAGAAATAGAATACTATGAGGAACCCCCACATGCCCATTTTCAAGCTTCACCAGTTATAAACTGGATAATTTTTAAGCATATCTAGATACCATATTATCTCACCATTTGTTTTGTATCTGTATTTTAAATCAACTCTATTGATTTTTAAATCAGCTTTATTGAGAATGCAGCGTAGGCAGGAGAGATGAAAGATATGAATTAGGGACTAAGAAATGTGAAGAATAAAGGTAGAAGTTTGAACATAGGTAACTAAAAGTTCTATTCTCAGGAAATAGAACAATGCCACAACAATATTCAAAGATTGTTGAAAATTTCACATAACTGTCAAAGATACCAAACCTTAGATGCAAGAAGTCCATCAAATGCTTAGACTAGAACATCATGATGGAAATGCAGAACATAAGAGACAAAGAGAAGATTTTAAAAGTTGCCTGAGAAAAAGATTGCACATAAATGAATGACAGTTAGATTGGAGGTGATTTCTTAACAGGAGCAGTAGATGGCAGTAAGTAGTGGGATAATATCTTCAGAGTACAGAGAAAAAATAGCAATCAGTCTAGAATTTTATACCCAGGGAAATTTAACCTGATACAGTATGTCTACCAAAAAAAAAAATTGATCATTTAATTGTAAAAGATTTAAAACATTCTCTTTAAAATCAGGGGAAAGACCAAGACACCCACCATGATCACTAATATTTGACATATGTTAGAATTCCTAGCCAGCACAAGAAATAAATTGTATAAGAAATGGAAGGGAAGAAACAAAACTGTAAGTCATTATTATATTGTCCTTCATTATTCAAAGAGGATGTGATTGTTCAGGAAAACAAATTATTAGAATTAATAGGAGCTTAACAAGGTTGCTGGATAGTCAATATACAGAAATCAGTTTCACTGAAAGTCAGTTTGCCTAGTAGTTGAGTGCATTCACTCAATGCCAGACTGTCTGGCTTTGAATTCAAAATTCAGCACTTCCTAGCTTTGTATCTTTGGGCATATTATTTCATTTCCATGCACTTATTTTCCTAATTTAAAATAATGGTTTCTCATAAGGATATTATGAGCATTAAATGGATCTATATGTATCTAAGGCACTTAGATAAGTGTCTGGTTCCTAGTAAGTGTTGTAGATAAATGTTAGCCATTATTATTATCATTATCATCAACACCATTTTAAACAGATTAGCAGTGAATAGAATGTAACTTTTAAAGATACCATGTATAGTAATTTAAAAATTATAAAGTACGTTAGAATAAATTCTTTAAAACATCTGTAAAACCCTCATGGAAAAAAAGTATAGAACTTTATTGAAAAGTATTGACATGAATAAGTAGAGAGAGATACCATGTTCACAAATAGGAAGACTAATGTAACAAAAATAACAGAAATTTATTTTTCTGAAAATTGATCATTGGGTTCAGTGAAATTCCAGTTAAAACCTAAACAGGATTTCTTATTAGATGAACTTATTTTAAAATGTGTGTGTAAGAGCAAAGATGCTTCGGAAGAACAAGAGTTGTTTTTTTGTTTTCTTTTTCTTGATTATGCCCAAACATATATCAAGATTTATTTTGGTATGGTGTTGGTGCAGGGGTGCAGAAAGACACCAACAAGTAAAATAAAGCAGAGTGCCTAGAATTCATGCACATATGGAAAGTTGATTTATGTCAAAGATGTCATAGGGAAAGGAAAGATTGTTCAGACTGCTGGCACAGTTTGATATTCATATGGAAAAATTGAGCCCTTTTTTCTTACCTTAGACAAAAATGAATCTCAGGTAGATTAAAGACTTAAAGGTGAAATCCAAACTATAAAACTTTCAGAAGAGAATATAGAGGATTATCTTAATGACTGTGGGGAGAATTATTTGTTAAAATTGATCAAAAGCAAAAAAGCACAAAATATAAAGGAAAAAAATGCATAATTTCGACTATATAAAATATTTCTGTTCAAAAAAGTGAAAAGACAGGTTTAAAAAGTGGGGGAAATTATTTGCAACAAACATAATTGGTGAAGAGCTAGTGTCTCAAAAATATTTCTTATAAATACGTAGAATAAAATAAACAGCCTCATAGAAAAGTGGGTAAAAAACTTGAACAGGCGTTTGACAGATGTGAAAACACAAATGAGCAATAAATATACTGAGTGGATGATCAGTCTCATCAAAAATCAAAGAAATGCAAACTAACCTCAATGAGATATCATTTGTACCTATCATATTGGCAAAAATTAAAGTTTGCCGATATCAACATGTTGGTAAGGATATGTAGCAACTGAAACTCTCATACCTTGCTGGTGGTAGTATAAACATCCAGTATAATAAAAGATTGAGAAATTAGACCACACAAAATTAAAGTTTTGTGTTGGAGGAAAATGCCATAAACAAAACTTAAAAGACAAAAATATTGCAACATTCAGGACAGACAAAAACTAGTTTCTCTGTATATACAGTTCTTACAAATCATTAACTAAAAGACCAATAAATGGAGAAAAAGATAGGAATAAGTAATTCACAGAAAAAATAAACAAAATGACTCAACCTCACTAATAATGAAAGACATACAAATTAAAACCACAAGGTTCCATTTTTATTGTTTGGAAAGATGAGTTTGATAAAATACTAAAAAATTTTCATAGAATATTTTCTTATTTTTCTTATATAAATAAAAATTAATTAAACAATGATATAAGCCAGATAAAGAAAGATGAGTTATTGAGAGACTACCAAAGCACCTCCTGAGAAGTAGCTTTAAGACAGGATTATGAAGTCACAAAATTGAGAAGAAGAGTGTATTATTTCAAGAACGGATTGGTCAAGAGTATCAAACGTAGAAAGGCAAGTAAGTTATGAGCCAGAAATGTGCTTATGTGAGTGAGGACTGTGGCGGAAATCATTGGTGACTGACGAGTGCTGTTGAGGTAGAGTAATGGAGGCAGAAATCAAAGTAGATTGAGGAGGAAGTGGGAGGTGATCTAGGTAAGAGCAAGTATGGACCCTGGCCGGTTTTGCTTCTTTTGTTTTTTAAATGATCAGGTTTGAGCCTGTTTAAGTGCTGTTGGGCAGAGTGCAGAGAAGCAAAGTGCATAGGAATGAAATTCAGAATACAGTGGAGAGAGAACTGAGGCAATGGAAGTATAGGAGAAAGAGCCCGGAAATGGAAATCATGAGACCTGGTTTTTATTGTCCCAATTCTTTGATGCTTAGTTGCTTCATCTATAACAGGAGTTGGCAAACTTTTTCTGTAAAGGGCTAGGTAGTAAAATATTTTAGTCTTTGTGGGCCATAGGGTCTCGGTCACATTTGCTCAACTACACTCTTCTAATAGGAAAGCAGCAGTAGACAATAGATAAAAGAGTAGGTGTGGCTGTGTTCCAGTAAAACTTACCATGGACCTTTAAATTTGAATTTTATATAATTTTTTAAGTGACATGAAATATTATTCTTGATTTTTTTTTCAGTCATTTAGTTTGTGGGCCCTATGAAAACTAGTAGTGGGCTGGATTTGCCCCACAGGCTATAGTTTGCCAACCCCTGATCTATGAAATGAAAAGTTGGACTAAAATATATTTCATCTCTGCATTGTACAGTCTTAACTGTGGGATTCGTGACTTAATCTCACTAAGTGTATATGTAGTTTATTATATGTATGATCTGATTTGATTTAACCTTTTGTTTATCAGAAGTAATTTTTAGTCTCAACCATGTAGAACTCTGCAGAGAACTCAGTTTATCTGTTTGTGACTAGAGTTCCAAGAATATTATTTTTTCATCGGAAACTCTTCCCTGAGTTTACTTAGAGGAGGGATAATCTTTGCCATATCTGCATACCATCATTCAATATCTCTTTAATATTTTGAAACAGACTTATTTTTAACTTAAGTATATTTTGGGATGGAAAATCAGTATTATTTGGCACAAATAAAAGGTAATTGCAAAAATAAGTTAAAACAGTGTTATTTGCCAGAAAATCTTGAAACTGAGGCATCGTTTCTTTTTGTTAAAAAGATTGGGAAACTTTTAGAGATGTTAAAGATTAATGTGAAAGTTTAGAGGAGAACTGAAAAAATCTTTCTCGCTAATGCCTCGTGTATCTACAATCATCTTCAGTTGCCTTATATAAGGAAACCTTTTCATAACTGATAGCAGTTGGTTCTTATTAAAGGAACTCTAGGGCTCTCTAAGTTGTTCAATTGAAATACCGAGTTCTGTTATTAAGACTCTGATAGTAAACAGGTAAAACATTTTGCGCTTTGTTTAGTAATCTCTGATCTATAACCACTGGTCTCATGATAGTCAAGTCCTTAATTTTTAAGGATAGTCTTAGGAAACTCAATACAAATATTCTTTTAAAATAGGCTTTGAAAGGATCAAGTCTTTAGGTTGGCTATTTGACTATAAGGGATTTATTTCTTTGCCACTAACTTTTCGCTGAAAAATTTATTACCATTCATAATGCACTCAGAGTAATGCACTGCAAAGGAAGTTACTTACTTGTCCAAAATTAATTGGTTAATTGCAGAGCTAGAATTAGAACCAACATCGCTTCACTTCTAACCTAGTTATCTTTATAATACTGTGCTTCTTGACAAACTCTGTAACTTGGTTCCATAGTACAGACTTTAGGATTATGCTAATGGTTAATTTTGTGCAGTTATTGTGTACCAGGTCCTACAACCATGTGAGGTGTTGATACTGTTATTAGCCTCAGAGAAGTTAGGCATTTTGCCTAACGTAATATTGTTAATTAAAGGTAGAACCAGAATTTGAGCCATGATGGTTTTTTGACTTTCTAAGTAAAATTCATTCTTAATCTGTCTAGTATTTGGGTCTAGACTTTCTCTTATGAGCTGAGACTCACTCTCTTTCAATCCCAGAAATTCCCAAGCCCTTTTCCTTTCCCCTTTAGCTTTTTAGTTTCTTTATACCTTTTATTTCTTGTCTTCTTGTGAGCACCTCCAGCACACTATTAAAAGGAAGCAGAGATAGTGGGTATCCTTGTTTTATTCTTAATTTAAAAAATAGTGCTCCTGACATTTACCAATTTGCTATAAATTTTTGGTAGACACCCATCATCAAATTATGAATGTTTCTGTAAATTCCTTTTTACTAAGACTTTTTTTTAAATCGTAAGTGAATTTTGAATTTGACTAGATGTTTTCGGCATCTTTTGAGATAATCACTTGATTTTTCTCCTGTAATAGGTTTATGTAGTAAATGAAATATCCATATTTCCTGTTGTTAAATCTCTCTTATATTTCTGGGATGAACTCAGCTTGTTTATGATATATTAATGTCATCATTTTTACTCTTAGAATCAATTTGTGACTATTGGTTTAATTTTTTAAACCAATAGGATAATGCATTCTATTAATTCTATTAATTCCTTCTCAAATCAGTTTTAGTAAGTTATATTTTCCTGGAATTTATTATTTTGTATAATCTTTAAATGTATTGGCTTAAAGTTGTTCATAATATACATACTCTTAAGACCTACATGAATAAATGTTTTAGTTGTTGGGGAACCCTTCTGTTTTTGGTTTCTTTGATCTTTAAGTTCGTTCATTCATTTGAATCTGTTATTCATTTAAACTGTTAACGATCTACACTGTGCAGTGTCCTGTGCATTAACTATTCTTGAAGTTTTTAGAATTGATTTTTTTCTCTCTACTTTCCACTGCTAGAATAACCCAGGGCCCCGTAGAACAGCCTCAGCATGAACCCTCAGGATTCAAACTTCTTGATTTTATTTTTACATGTATAAAAATAAATAATATATAAATACGTAGATAATGGTTATAAGACAGTTGTCTATGTTTTGCAACATATTATGTGATTTTTTTTGCTTATGTATGTAGAAATAAACATATAAATAAAAAATGGTTACGAGACGGTGATATATGATAAAGAAATGTATGAATTTGTTGTGACTTGAATGTGGCTAATGTGTTTGGACTGTAGTTAAAGAGGCATTATTCCTACTTGAAAGGTTATGCTTGAAAAATTGCTGGGTACAACTTATTTAATGAAGGACACTGAATACCATTGTGCCCTGAATATTCATCTTTCATCAAACAGTTTCTAACTTAGCTACTTTGTGGCTAAGTATTATCCCAAGCACTGAGAAACAAAATTAGTGGATTTCAGAAGTCTTTATTAGTAAATTCTACTAGTGAAGCATTTTGTAAGAAACCATACAGCTGAAATATCATCCATCTTTCCTGAAAATATAATTTTGCTTAGTTAAAGGCAATATTGAGGATTGTCACAGCACTTGGCTCTTCAAGTAAAGCATATTCAACTGATGGCTGTCTAGCTTTGTGTGCAGTAGGTATAGATCATGATGAATTGAAGAGTTTTTTGTGATATAAATTATTCTAAATAAGTTATTCTCCCTTTTTCTCCCTACTAAACTACCAGGTGAATATAGCAGTCTTGACAGCTGGTCTTTATTAAGGGTATTCTTGTTAGGAGGCAATACCACTAGTGTCTGTCAATGTGGCTGGATGAGAGAAAGGCTGATTGTCTTCTCTTTTTAGAAGTCTCTGTCTATTCTCTGTTCTGAACCATATTTGATTGGGAGATTGCAAGATCACCTTTCATAAAGGGTGGAGGAGTGGAGATTGGGGGAAGAATCCTTTGTGAACCTTCTGTAGAATCTTATCCTTTGTGATGCTTATGTAGAATTTTGGCAATTCTTAGTTTGGATTGTGATCTAATGTTTGAAGTAAGCACTTGATAGATATCAGGGGACCCATGAACCGTGTTATAAAATGGTATGAAGAATCCATGTTTACATACATTTCTCTGTGTGTGGGCTCCATAACTTTCCTTTGATATCCAGTATGAGTTCTACTTGAAAGGTTAAGAATCTGTGTGTGTGTGTGTGTATGTGTGTGAAAAGGGATGTGTTATTGGTGGTGATGGTGAAGGGAAGGCATCTCCATTATTATTTTTGCCTGATGTGAGAGGAATTTCTCCCTTAAGATTCCTGCAGTGTGTGTGTGAGCGGGCGGAGGGAGATTGGAGAAAGAAGGGAGGAAAAGGAATTTGTTACTACTAGTATGATAATATATGATATCTTAATCCATTTGTAAAGTGGTACTATGGAACAAGAGCCAATGAGTGACTGACTGTTTTAGGCCATCAATTATAGGGCTAGCCAGGTAATGGTTGGTTTACAACTTTAGTAAGTTGCTTCCAAAACAAGAGATTCTGATTTAGAGAATATCATTCTATTCACAGAAGTATATAGGAAAAATACTTTTAACAATAGAGCATTTGGCAAGAATTTTACCAAATGTTAATAAAAATTGGTGTGTGGAAGTTGTTAAACTTTTAAGGAACACAGAGACTTTTGGTTACCCAATTAAAATTACATGAATTACAAGGAAAAGGTCTATTAGGAACCATAAAATAAATATTTTTAATATTATATAAAAGTCAAAGTTGTTAATTCATTTTCTATTTGGGGTAACCTGGCAAATTGAGATTGAAACCTGTTGCAAGTGTGACCAAGAATATGTCTTTATTCAGTTTTGTGTAAGAACTTTTAAACAGTTTTACTGCCATTGACTCCTATGTATTTATTGACCTTTTGCTTAATAACATTGGGTTGATTTTAGGCCACCAACAAAATGGAAATGAAAGAGATTGCTAAACACAAGACACTATGGAAAATGAACTCAACCAGTGAACCTTTATTAGTTACTGGTGTAGATGTCAGTCCTTTGAAGAAATTCACCATTCCCAAGATCAGGAGGACAGCTGGGAAAGGTAATATTTCATACTTCTATGGAAGATAGGGTTATTTCGTAACTCTTACTGTATTTTTCTGATTCTTTATGTTCATCTTCTATTTTGACTATATGAAATTAGGTTAAGTCAGGCCTTTAATTTCTTAAATTACACATCTACTTTTGGTTCCACACGAAATGGAATAGACACATCTCCTATTTCTCTCGCCAAGTACACCTAAAAATGCTGGGCATCATACATAAAACAAACATAAGATTTTGAAAGGTGGAGAGAAGAAGATGGACCAGCTAAGGATCCTGGGACTCAAGGAATGACATAACAATAAGTTCTCTGGATTTTCTTTTTGCTTCCTCCATGTGTCAGATTGGATGCCCCCAACCAAGGAATGCCAACTGGCATGGACCCAGAAAGCCCCAAGAAGAGTCTGTTCTCCCTTGCCAAGGACTGGAAAAGGGCCATTCTAGAAAGACAGAAACCTATTTGACAGTAAACACCCTAATCCTGCAAAACATGGGGAAAAAAAGCATAGCCCCTACACCTTTGTAAACTGAGGCTAAGTGGAGGGCCTAGACTTCCACCCATGCCTCTCCCCTTCATGGAAGTAACAAGTTCCCCTCCTACCCTGGCATCCCCTGCCCCTGCAGTGACAGTGGATTTCCACCCCTGACCTGGGATGATGAGTCACCCCTGCTCACTAGGGGTAGTTAGTGAATACCAATTGGGGAGCCTAGGCTTATATCACACCCACCAGTAACAAGGCATCTGTCACCCTCCCACAGTGTCAGAGTCTGAGGTGGAAGCATGGACTTCAACCGCTTTCTCATGGTAATAAGGCATACTTCCAGGGTGTCAGTTGAGACCCTGTGAAGAGTCGGGACTTCAACCTTGCCTGGTGGTCAAGAGTCAGCACCCCACCCCCCTCTTCCCTACTAGCACAGTTTCCCCTGCTGGCTCAGTTTTAGTAGAGGCTTGTTAAAACACAAGATTAACTATGATCTAGAGTCTCTTAACAATACCCAAAGTGACCAAGATATAGTAAAAAAAAAAGAAATCACTCATCTTACCACCAACAAGGAAAATCTCAACTTGAATGAGAAAAGATAACAGATGCCAACACTGTGATTAAACAGATGTTGGAATTATCTGACAAGGCTTTTAAAGCAGCCATCATGATGTTTCAGCAAGCAGTTACACATACTCTTGAAACAAATGAAAAAAATAGAAGATCTCAGCAAAGAAATGGAAAATGTAATAAAGAACCAAGTAGAAGTTTTGGTACTGAAAAATACAATAATTGAAATAAAAACTGATTGGGTGGGTTCCAGAGAAGAATTGAGAAGACATTGGAAGGAATCAGTGAATTTGAAGATATAACTATAGAACTTATTCAGCCTGAACAATGCAGAGAGAACAGAAGAAAATTAACAGAGCCTCAGGGACGTGTGGAACAATAATAAAAGATCTAATATCTTTGTCCTAGAAGTCCCAGAAGTAGAAGAGAAAAAGTGTGGAGCTGAAAAAGTATTTGAAGAAATGTTGGCCAGAAATTTCCCAAATTTGGCAAAAGATATAAACCTGTACGGTCAAAAGGCTGAATAAACCCTAAACAGGATAAACCCAATGAAGTCCATGCCAAGGCACATCATAATAAAACTTCTGAAAACTGAGGACAGAAAAAGTCTTGAAAGCGACTACAGAGAAACCACATGTTACCTATAGGGGAAAAATTGTTTGAATGACAGAAGATTTCTCATTAGAAACCATGGAGCCCAGAGGGAGTGGCACAACATTTTTCAAGTGCAGAAAGAAAAGAACTGTCAACCCAGAGTTCTGTCCCTAGCAAAAATATCCTTCAGGAATAGAAGTGAAATACATATTCTCAGATAAAGTAAAACCAAGAATTTTTCATCAGCAGATCCACCCTAAAAAAATGGCTAAACATAAGGTTCTCCAAACAGAAAATGACAGAAGAAAGAAGCTGGGAACCGTAGGAATGAAGGAAGAACAATGGAAAGAGTAAGAATATAGCAGAATAGAACAGACCATCCTCCTCTTGAGTTTTCTAATTATGTTTTACAGTTGGAGCAAAAATTATAACATTCTCTGATGTGTTTCTCAATGTATATAGAGGAAGTATTTAAGACAATTATAAAGTGAGATATTACCCTTGTAGGGAACTGGGTGAATGGGATATAGGATCTCTCTGTATTATGTATTGTAACTTCATGTGAATCTAGAGTTATCTCAGAATTAAAAGTTTTTTATAAAAACACTACAGATAAATCAAAATGGAATTTATAAAATGTTCAAGTAACCCACAGGAAGGTGGGAAAAAAATGAAATAGGAAATTGAACAACTGAGGGGAAAATAAAATAAACAGTTAAATGGCAGGCTTGAGCCCTAACATACCAATTATATTAAATGTAAATGACCTAAATATACCAATTAAATGACAGAGGTTGACACACTGGATAAAAAAAAATATGACCCAACTATATACTGTCGATAAATTCACTTCAAGTATAGTGATATAGGTTGGTTGAAAGTACATGTATGAAGAGAGATAAGCCATGCAAGTAATCAAAATAAAGCAGGAATGGCTATATTAATGTCAGATAAAGTAGACTTCAGAGGAAAGAAAATTACCAGGAACAATTATGAAAGGGTCAGTCCACCAGTAAGACATAGCAATTCTAAATGTGTATACACCAAACAACATAGCTTCAAAATGCATGGAGCAAAATTGATAGAACTGAAAGGAGAAGTGGACAAATCCAGAATTACAGTTGGAGACTTTAGCACACTTCTCTCAATAATTGATAGAACTACTAAGACAGAAAATCAGCAAAGATATAGAAGAACTTAATGTTGTCAACCATCAGGATATAGTTGATATTTATATGTTACTCTACCCAATAGCAGAATAGACATTTCCTTTCAAGCACCCATTTGACACTTATCAAGATAGACAATATGTTGGGCCATGAGACACATCTCAACACATTTAAAAGAATTGAAGTCATACACAGTGTGTTTTCTGACCATATGCAAACTAGAAATTAATAATAGTAATAGGTAAATCTCTAAACACATGGAAAGTAAGAAACACACTTCTAAATATTCATGGGATTTCAAGGGAAATAAAAAAATATATTGGACTGAATAAAAATGAAAACACAACATATCAAAATCTGAGGGACACAGCTAAAGCATTGCTAATAAATTTATAGCACTAAATACTTTCATCAGAAAATAGGAAGGGTTTCAAATCAGTAATGTAAGCTTCTACCTTAGAAACTAGAAAAAGAATAACAAGCCCAAAACAAGCAAAAGAAAGGAAAAGCAATAAAACAAAACAAAAAAAAACTGGTTGACTGAAGGCAAGACATGGAAGCAGCCCAAGTGCCCATCAACGGATGAATACATAAAGATGATGTTGTGTATATATACAATAAAATACTACTCAGCCATAAAAAAAAGATGAAATCGTGCTATTTGCAACAAAATGGATGGACCTTGAGGGTATTATGCTAAGGGAAACAAGCCAGACAGAGAAGACGAACACTGTATTATTTCACTCATATCTGGAAGGTAAACAAGCACATGGATATAAGGAGAACAAATTAGTGGTTACTAGATGAGAAGAGGGGGGAGAGGGCAGAAGGGGTAAATGGGCACATATGTATGATGATGGATAAAAACTAAACTATTGGTGGTGAGCACGATGCAGTCTGTACAAAAACTGATATAGAATAACGTACACCTAAAATTACATGATGTTATAAGCCAGTATGACCTCAAGAAAACAATTACATAAAAAAAACTGGTTGGTTGAAAAGATCAAAAAAATTGACAAACCTTTGGCAAGAAGAACTCTAAATTAAACACCTGCTAAATGTTATACAGGAAAAGGGTTATGTGCAAGTTTTCAACCCTGATGAAACTGGCTTGTTTTGCAAGGATGTTAGCAAGCAACCCTGTATCACAAATCTATTTAAGTTGTCAAAAATGTTGTGACCAGAGGCTCATAGGAAGATACCTAACCCTGTGTTTCCTCTAAGAGGAATGGTTCAGTATACACTAATTTGGTGTTCACAGTGACTTTAGTAGACTATAACTACCACAAATAACAAGAATCAACTGTATTTGTTCCCTGCTTTTCCTCTGCGTCCTCTTTCTTGAGGGTTTTGATCTTTTTTTTTTTTTTTATAATTTTATTTATTTATTTTTTCCCCCAAAGCCCCAGCAGATAGCTGTTTGTCATAGTTGCACATCCTGCCAGCTGCCGCATGCGGGACGCGACCCCAGCATGGCCGGAGAAGCGGTGCGTCGGTGCCCGCCCAGGATTGAACCCGGGCCGCCAGCAGCGGAGCGCACGCACCCAACCACCAAGCCACGGGGCCGGCCCAAGGGTTTTGATCTTTTTATGCACCTACTTAATATAGCAGTGCTTAAAACATTGCTCATTGTCCTGAGAAAGTGTGTTACCTCTTACTCATGCCACTGTATCAGTCAGCAATTATGTTTTAAACACAAATAACCATGTACCCTTTTCTTTGTCTTTAGTTTACTTGTCACCTTGTTGCACCAATACCAGAGAATATAGTTTCATACATGATACTCTTAACCAGTGCCGGCTTGATGTAAGCTGTGATCTGCAGTCATCATGGCAGTTTGGGGACACAAAACTGGTTCACAATGAGGATCTGGAAAAAAATTTTGCTTCTAAGAGGTAAGTTACTCTGACCTAAAGAAGTTTGTTGTTTGTTTTTACTATGAAGTCTTTTTTTTTTTTTTTTTTGGTGGGGACATCAGCCCTGTGCTGACATGGGCCAATCCTCCTCTTTTTTTACTGAGGAAGACTGGCCCTGGGCTAACATCTGTGTGCATCTTCCTCCATTTTATATGGGACGCCGCCACAGCATAGCTTGCCAAGCAGTGTGTCAGTGCACGCCCAGGATCCGAACTGGCGAACCCCAGGCCACTGCAGCGGAGTGCACGTTCTTAACCGCTTGCGCCACCAGGCCAGCCCTACTATGAAGTCTTAATATGAATTTATTTCTACCATTTGGGGTTTGACAAGTATTACTAAGAAAGTACAGTGATTGTTTATTCTTTATTTTGTTTATTCTTTATTTTGTTTATTTTGCTTTGTGTAATAGTGAAAAGCTAAGTGTGAGATTTGATTAGAAAGTTTTACAC